TAATGACTTATCACGAAAACAAACATATTCACGCGTGACTTTAATAGAATTTCTTACTTAATGGAAACACCACAGTTGCGAAACTGTTTTTTGACATTACCAGAATATCGACAAAATTTTGCGCACATTTGCAATGGAAACGCAGTGACTGTTGGGACTTTGCAGAGTTTAGAGTTGTCTCTTCCATCTCCTCCTTCAGATTGAGGACTTTATGTCTTGGTTTTCTGCATTTCCAGGTGCTGCTGGACGGGTACCTGATGGTGGGGATTGATGGTACTGCAACAAACAATGGCTCTGATTGGTTTTGTTATCATGCTTCTTCCCATGCCATTTTACCAGTTGGATTCTGTAAAAAGAACAAAATCACACTCTCTGTACCTAATGGTAAATAACATTTTTTTCTCATTTAGTTCACATAGCTCCAAATGTCATATAAAGGTAGATTTTCATAACGTTTTTTTGTTATTTTTGTCAGATTCTGTTTTCAGTTAAAAAGCATAACCCTCTGAGCCATCAGATCTGAAAGAATTTTTCTCCTTCACAGGTTACGATCCTCAGACCTTCACCTGGGAAATGTACCTGAATGAGACTGAAGCCAAAGCAGCACCAGCTCGACTCTTCAATGCTGTGAGTTATGTTTGAAGCAGAACTGAGTGAAGGAAGAAATTAGATTGCCTGAATGTCGCCCCCCAGTGGCGTGGTGTGTTACATGTTGATGTTCAGTAAATCTTGTTTTTGTACATTTTTGTTTTTTGCTGTACTGTTAGCAAAATATCTCATGAACCACTGAACAGATTTAAATGAAACTTTTAGAAAGTCATGACTGGATAAACTGATGAACTTTTGAAGTGATGGGCAAGTTTAGATCGGACCCAAAACATTTGACCTGAATACAGTGTCTGAACCTGACTGAACCGGACTGATTAACTCTGATTAGAGACACAAGAATTTACCTTTTGGAAAACAGAGTAGCAGATTCTACTGACCACATGGTTAGACACACAGTCCTTCAGTCTCACAAACTGTGGTCTGTTTGTCAGGTAGTCTTTGATCCAGGCGATTGTTGAGGCCTCCACCTGAGTCTTCTGGAGTTTCAGACAAAGCAACTCAGGCTGAATTGTGTTAAAATCACTGGAGAAATCAAAGAACATGATCCTCACAGTGCTGCCTGCTTTGTCCAGATGACAGTGGGTTTGTTGAAGCAGGTGTATGATGGCGTCGTCAACTCCACGACGATAAGCAAACTGCAGGGGGTCCTGATGTGTGCTTTGTTTGCTTACTCTGGTGGGTCAGCAGGGGTCACTCTAGGACAGGGGTCTCCAACCAGTAGCTCGCGAGTTCATTTAAAGTAGCTCTTTAATGCTTGTGAAAATTAGATGTAGCAAATTTTGATTTGTCACCAGCCAAAATGAAGCAACATGCAGCGTTCGTGGGACTGTTTGTTCATGCTGAAGACGCATAGTCAAACAGCCAAAATCTACAGTGTTTCCCTACAGGAAACTGGCCTGGGGGGGGGAGTGGGGGGGGGCTACTTGTTTTATGAAAACATAAATTTACGCATCTCACCTTCTATTTTGTACTAAAGAAATATTAACGTGGTTGTCAGTCAATTCTATTATCTAAAACACCTTCAGTAAACGTTTTTAGACCTTTCCAGTGTTTCCCTAGTGTACTGGCCTTGGGAGGGCTGCTTATGAAAACAGAAAGATCAACAGCAGCAGGTTTGTTTTAAATACAATTTACAGAACATGAAAAAGTCTGAAATCTGCATTAATTAAATCGTATATAGTGAATCTCATATCTAAAGATACATTTAAGATATCTTGAACTGGAGTCTCCATAAAACTTAATGATAAATCTAATGTTATTAAACTAGTCAGAATATAATTAGAGATATCTTAAATCTTTCTATCTATGTGGGGACCACACACCACATCTATGTGTTGACCACACACAGCGCTCAGCCTCGATCTGTGCAGCCTTTTTACCCCCAAGTTTGGCGAGAGGTGGATATAGAGGGGTACAAAAAAATAGCTGTCGACTTGATTTGGCCTTATTTAAATAAAAATGACTACATGCTGTGAAATTCTTGAAGGGGCGGGCCGTCTCGTTGGCGGAGGGCCCGCCTCCCTTGTGTAAAAGTAGAGGTAACACTGGACTATAAAGGTGTAGTGAAAATGTCTCAGCATCTCTGAGCTATAGTAGACCCAAATAACTATAAAAACCTTCTTCAAGCAGCTCTGAAAATGTCTGCACTTTTTGGGTCTACATGCCTCTGTGAGTTTTCAGACACGAATGTCCTAAAATCAAAGTTCAGAACAAGACAGACAGATGAACATTTAAATGACTCAATAAGGGTGAACCTACAGTAAGTGGCTACACTCCATCATTCAGCTGTCTTATTGATTCCGTGCAGTGCCAGTCATCTCACTAAGGAAAAATTAATTGAAGTGTTTTTTATTGTATGTTCAAGTATGTTCAAGTTTTGAGTTTAAGTGTAAAATAAAAATTTGCAAAAGTAGCTCTTGGCCAATTTCATTTTGTGAAAGTAGCTCTCAAGGAAAAAAGGTTGGAGACCCCTGCTCTAGGACCTTCATGATGTGGGATGTCAGGGCAACAGGTTGTTGAGGGCTGATGGGTGAGTTTTCTTTGGTACTGGAACCAGACAGGATGTCTTCCACAACACTGGCACCTTCTCCTGGGCCAAGCTAAGGTTGAAGAGGGCTTGCAGAATCCCACAGAGTTCAGGCCTTCAGGACTCTGGGGCTGACACCATCTGGACCTRCAGCCTTGTTCTGGTTCAGTCTCTCTAGCTGCCTCTTCACCTGACTTCTAGATACAGAAAAGTGGGAGGAGGAGGAAAAGGGAGCAGCAGCATCTCCTGATTTGGTTGAAGACAAACTTGTAGAAGAGTCCATGACTGAGGTTGAAGGTAGATATCTCACCGTCCTTTGACCCACAGCTTTCCTGTCAAAGCTCAGATGTCTGTTTGGCTGGGGGTAGGAGAGGAGGAAGATGAGCTTGTTCCTGAGCTGAACCTGTTGAAGAATGTGTTCAGCTCATTAGCTCTGTCAAGACTTCCATAAATACTGTCGGTGCCACACAGTCTTACATCACCAGGTGCCAAATAATCACCAGCAAAAGTTTATCTGATGAATAATTCCACACGATTCTGCCCAACCCTCTGACAACATATGATAACACTGATTATACAAAGATGAAAAATGTAGAAAGCTCACAGAACGACAACGTAAAAAGTGGATTTTAAACCGTCTCGTTTGCAGTCAGGAGGCACAGGATGCCGGTGCCTGCAGCCATCACTTCATTTAGAGGTATGTTAGCTGCTAACTATGAAATATATTTATACAAATATAATAAATGTAATAATTTTCGGATATCTCATTGCTCACTTCCGATGTCGCTGTCTCTCCATCGCTGCCAAACTTTATGCAACTTCCGTCTCTTTTTATTTCTATCCTCCTGTAGATTTTTTGCTGCTTGTCTAATAATTTCAGGCGTCAGTCAGAAAGGAGTTTGTGGGGGGTTTATGTTTGTTAGGCGGGGTGGGGGTGACATTAGAGGGGGAAATGAGGTGTTTTTCCCCCATAAATCAGCCCTCTTTTGCATCCTCCCGCTGCAACGTGCTTCAAATATCCGTCCGTCCGTTTTCTGCCGCTTATCCGGAATCGGGCCGCGGGGGCAGCAGCCTAAGCAGAGAGACCCAGACTTCCCTCTCCCCAGCCACTTGGGCCAGCTCGTCCGGGGGAATCCCAAGGCATTCCCAGGCCAGCCGAGAAACATAGTCCCTCCAGCGTGTCCTGGGTCTTCCTCTGGGCCTCCTCCTAGTGGGACCTGAACTTTCTTATCTTAATGATAAAAAGACAGAGGTCATTTCATTTGGTAACTCTGATAAACTGACAGGATGCAGTAGTGCTGTTGGACCACTGGACCCTTTGTCTGGCCGTATGTCTGTTAGAAATCTTGGGTTGATTTTGGATTCTGATTTTAAATTTAAGGAACAGGTCAGTGCAGTAGTCCAGTCTAGCTTTTATCATTTGAGACTTATAAGTAAAGTCAAGGATTACCTGCCTCATAATGCACTTGAGAGGGTTATTCATGCTTTTATCACTTCTAGACTGGACTACTGCAACTCTCTTTACTGTGGGATGGATCAGTCTTTGGTTCGTCGTCTACAGCTGGTTCAGAACTCAGCTGCCAGTTAATTAACAGGGACAAGACGTCGCGAACACATCACTCCAATTCTGTATTCTCGTCACTGGTTGCCTTTTTCTTTTAGAATTGTTTTAAGATTTTGTTTTTAGTTTTTAAATGTCTAAATGGTTTGGCACCTCATTATCTCACTGAGCTTTTACAGCCTCACATTCCAAATAGATCCCTGAGATCTGTAAATCAAAAGCTTTTAGTTGTTCCCAGGTCTCGGCTTGTGACCAGGGTAGACAGAGCCTTTTTAGTTGCAGGACCTCGGCTCTGGAACAATCTGTCTGTGAGGTCTGCTGGGTCTCTGAATGAGTTTGTCTCTGTTAAAAACTCATCTGTTTAAACAGGCTGAAGAGTCTGAAGAGCATGATCACTAGGCCAGCCTTTGCTGTTTTGTTTGATTTTATTGTTCATTTTATTACTGTGCTTTGTTCATTATTTTTATTTTATGCTCCTGTACAGCACTTTAGTTTTTATTGTGCTTTATAAATAAACGATGATGATGATGATTACATGCCCGGAACCCCTCACCAGTGAGGCGTCCAAGAGGCATCCTAACCAGATGCCCGAGCCACTTCAACTGGCTCCTCTGGACGTGGAGGAGCAGCGGCTCTACTCTGGGTCCCACCCGGATGATCGAGCTTCTCACCCTATCTCTAAGGGAGAGCCCAGACACCCTGCGAAGGAAACTCATTTCAGCTGCTTGTATCTGCAATCTCGTTCTTTCGGTCACTACCCAAAGTTCATGAACATAGATGAGGGTAGGAAYGTAGACGGACCGGTAAACCGAGAGCTTTGCCTTCTGGCTCAGCTCCTGCTTCACCACGACAGACCGGTACAGCGCCCGCATCACTGCAGATGCAGCACCAACCCATCTGTCGATCTCCCGCTCCATTCTTCTCTCATTCGTGAACAAGACCCTGAGATACTTAAACTCCTCCACTTGGGGCAGGACCCCTTCCCCGACCCGGAGGCGGCACTCTACAGGTTTCCGGCTCAAGACCATGGCCTCGGATTTGGAGGCACTGATCCTCATCCCGGCCGCTAGACACTCGGCTGCGAACCGCTCCATCGAGAGCTGGAGATCACGATCTGATGAAGCCAATAGGACTACATCATCCGCAAAAAGCAGAGATGCAATCCCAAGGTCACCAAAAAGGATCCCCTCAACACCTTGGCTGCACCTAGAAATTCTGTCCATAAAAGTTATGAACAGAATCGGTGACAAAGGGCAACCTTGGCTGAGTCCAACTTTCACCGGAAACGAGTCCGACTTACTACCGGCAATGCGGACCAAGCTCCGGCACCTGTCATACAGGGACCTAATAGCCCGTATCAATGAGCCTGGTACCCCATACTCCTGGAGTACCCCCCACAGGAGTCCCCAAGGGACACGGTCCAACGCCTTCTCCAAGTCCACAAAACAAATGTAGACTTGCTGGGCGAACTCCCACGCACCCTCCAGGACCCTCCTGAGGGTGTAGTGCTGGTCTGCTGTTCCACGACCAGGACGAAAACCACACTGCTCGTCCTGAATGTGAGATTCAACTATCCGACGGACCTTCCTCTCCAGGATCCCTGAATAGACGTTACCAGGGATGCTCAGAAGTGTGATCCCCCTACAGTTGGAACACACTCTGCTGTCCCACTTTTTAAATATGGGGACCACCACCCCGGTCTGCCAATCCAGGGGAACTGCCCCGATGTCCACTCAATATTGTAGAGTTGCATCAACCAATGCAACCCCACAACATCCAGAGCCTTAAGGAACTCCGGGCGAATCTCATCCAGCCCCAGCGGCCTGCCACCAAGGAGCTTTTTAACCACCTCGGTGACATCGGCACCAGAGATTGGAGAGTCCGACCCAGGGTCCTCAGGCTCTGCTTCTTCATGGGAAGACATGTCGTTAGGATTGAGGAGGTCTTCGAAGTATTCCGCCCACCAACCCACAACTTCCCGAGTTGAGATCAGCAGTGCAACATCCCACCATAAATAGTGTTGGCGGTGAACCGCTTTCCCCCTAAGACTCCGGATGGTGGACCAGAATCGCCTCAAAGCCGTACGCAAGTCTTTTTCCATGGCCTCTCTGAACTTCTCCCATGCCCGAAGTTTTGCCTCAGCGACCACCCGAGCCGCAATGCGCTTGGACTGCCGATACCTATTGGCTGATTCCGGAGTCCCACAGGCCAAAAAGACCCAATAGGACTCCTTCTTCAGCCTGACAGCATCCCTCACTGCCGGTGTCCACCAGTGGGTTTGAGGGTTGCCACCACGACAGGCACCAACAACCTTACGGCCACAGCTCAGGTAAGCCGCCTCGACAATGGAGGCACAGAACATGGCCCACTCAGACTCTATGTCCCCCACCTCCCCCGGAACGTGTTCGAAGTTCCCCCGGAGCTGTGAGTCGAAGTTTCGTCTGACGGGAGACTCTGACAGACGTTCCCAGTAGACCCTCACTATACGTTTAAGCCTGCCAGGTCTAACCAGCATCCTCCCCCACCAACGGACTCAACTCACCTCCAGGTAGTGGTCAGTTGACAGCTCCGCCCCTCTCTTCACTCAAGTGTCCAAAACATGCGGCCGCAGATCAGATGAAACTACAACAAAGTCGATCATCGAACAGCGCCCTAGGGTGTCCTGGTACCAAGAGCACATATGGACTCCCTTATGTTTGAACATAGTGTTCGTTATGGACAGTCCATGATGAACACAGAAGTCCAATAACAAAACACCACTTGGGTTCAGGTCGGGGGGCCCGTTCCTCCCAACCATGCCCCTCCAGGTCTCACTGTCATTACCCACATGAACATTGAAGTCCCCCAGCAGAACGAGGGAGTCCCCTTTAGGAGCGCTCTCCAGCACCCCCTCCAAGGACTCCAAAAAGTTTGGGTAATCTAAACTGCTGTTAGGCACATAGGCACAAACAACAGTCAGGACCCATCCCCCCACCTGTAGGCGGAGGGAGGCTACCCTCTTGTTCACTGGGGTAAACCCCAATGTACAGGCACCGAGATGGGGGACAGTAAGTATGCCCACTCCTGCTTGGCGCCTCTCAGCATGGGCAACTCCAGAGTGGAAAAGTGTCTAACCCCTCGCGAGGAGACTGGTTCGAGAGCCAGAGCGGTGCGTCAAGGTGAGTCCAACTATATCTAGTCTGAACCTTCCAACCTCACACACAGCTCAGGGTCCTTCCCCACCAGAGAGGTGACATTCCACGTCCCTAGAGCCAGCTTCTGTAGCTGAGGATCAGACTGCCAAGGTCCCCGCCTTCGACCACTGCCCAGCACACATTGCACCCGACCCCTACGGCCCCTCCCACAGTTGGTGAGCCCATGGGAAGGGGGACCCAAGTCTCCTCTTCGAGCTGTGCCTGACTGGGCTGGGTGAAAGCCCGGCCACCAGGCGCCCACCAACGTGCCCCACCTCAAGGCCTGGCTCCAGAGTGGGGCCCAGGTGACCTGCGTCCGGGCGAGGGAACACTTAATCCATTTATTGTGTTCATCATAGGGGTCTTTGGGCTGCTTCAAATATGACGAACATTAATAAAAAGAGACAATTTTATTTATTATATAATTTAATCAGTGTATAATCATTTAGTATTAATTCAGTTAGAATGATTGGAGCACCCATAAACTACACAAGATATGGGCATTTTTTTCAGATAGCAGATCCTCCACCTTTTCACTTCCTGACCACCAGCTGAACTTCGCGTTCTCGTGGCACTGCATCGTGACGTCATGTGAAACCCTCCTATAGGGACAGACATTTCCTTTTAGTAGAAAGTCCTTGGGCAAAGGTGGTAGTTTTTAAAGGAGTCCATTGTGAAATAATTTTCACAAACTACAACTTGCTTTGACAATATTTCTAGAACATTGCCATCAAAAACAAAATGAATCGAGGCGTCTCTGTTCTCCATGACTGTTAAAAACAGCAGAACAAACTTTTGTCCTGTGAAGAAGTGGGCGGAGCTCCACCTTGGGTTGCCAGGGACTGGGCTCAGGTTGGGGTGGGTTGGTGTGCAGTTTGTGACATCACAAACCATTGGTGTTTGAAACAGTTCATTTCAAGACACAAAAAATGCAGTTTTTTATAACAAAAATACCTCTGTTTGCTTTTTATTTTTTGGTGCTTGGACTGTTTTTAGAAGCAGTACAGACCCAAATGTAAGTAACAAAAAAACAGAAAAAAGTGACTTTTACATATTAGGTCCCCTTTTTATTAATTTCTCATCGCTGTTGGACTTTACAAAAAATATCCTATGTCTGTTTAATTGACCAGGACAAACTGACATGAACACTTATTGTGATGGTTTTTCAGGGCTACCCGGGTCATGGTTTCTCCCCCAACATGAAGCTGGAAGCAGTAGACCTGATGGAACCGCGGCTTATCTGTGTGGCCACTGTGAAGCGCTGCGTGTGTCGCCTGCTGCTTATCCACTTTGACGGCTGGGATGATGAGTTTGACCAGTGGGTGGACCACCAGTCCCCTGACATCTACCCTGTTGGCTGGTGTACGCTTGTGGGCTACCAGCTACAGCTGCCTGCTGGATTGGGTAAAACAGCCATGATAGAAAAGGTCACAGTGCAGAGGGGACATTAATACACTTTACTTAGTTTCATTTACTCAGGTTTTTCCATTTTATCTATGTTTTTATGAATGTTAGTGGTGGGATAACACCATCTGAGTTCAACAATAAAGTGACAGAGGTTTTATTCTGTTTTCCAGTTGATTTAACTGAAAACCAGGTGGCACGGAACAAGAAAACCAAGCCCTTCGTGTACAGGAAAAAGAGTATGTGAAATGTGCATGGAGTCTTGTGTCTTGCCACTAAACACTAGGGGGGCAGAGTGTGTGTTTGTGGCTGCAGCTCATGAACTATTGCTGATTGTAGAATCCAGTTCTGACAATGCATGAGTCTATATAACACAGGAGCAGTCAGGTATTTCACATAGTCTTTGGCTAATGGCTCAGATGTTTTGTTCAGATTGATTTGTTTACTCCCTCTACATTGTGTTCAACACAGAGTAGATTATAGGGGTAGGTTTATAGGTTATAGGGATTTTTTAAAATCTTTTGAACATAACTTAAATTAAGCAGCTCTTGATATAGTATTTATGCTCAAAGGATTTACAATTGAATGCCACATTAAAAACAAGCAGCCCTGAATCTGAGGTGATGGACTGCACAGTTCTGCTGTGTTTGAAGGAAACACCTGTGAAATGTACAGACAGATTAGTTGGTACTTTTAGGTGTGGTCCGGTCAGGTTCTGATGGTTAGGGTTACCTTAAGCAGAAAGACCACAGTTTCATAGAATTAAACCCAAATTTAAAATGGTTTCGCAATTTCTGTGCTTTTAAGTAAAACAGAAATGCAGCTACTGTTGTTACTGCTGCCTATATATTTTGACATTATATTAATTTATATGTGTGACCTATTTATTTATGTTTTAGTGGGGGTGTAACAATACATTGTTACACATTGTTGCATGTGATTAAATTACTAGATACCACATAGCGGTAACATCACACCCCCGCATGCACAAATGCACCAGAACTCAGAAGTCTTTATTCCTAAATGTCATGTTACCAGGTGCATCCCAAATTTGTAGTGGTTTGGGTGGAGGTATATTTTTTTGTTGGGGGTGTGTGGGGTGGGGTGGGGTGGGGTGGTTTGATTGACCTGATGGATAGCCCCTCATCAGAGCTAAACAACCAATGAAATCTGAAGCTCCTATGTTTAATAGTTTTTGAGCTATAACCATTTTTGTATGTCCAGATACCCCTTTTTCAGATAAATTGGGGGTCCGGGGGGTGGTGGGGCACTGATTGGTGGGCCTGATGGATAGAGCTTCATCAGCGCTAAACAACAAAATAAATCTGAAGCTTCTATGTTGAACAGTTTATGAGTTATAAGCATTTTTGCGTGTCCAGACACCCCCACTTTGAAAGAAGCCCCCTCCTCAAATATGGGGTCTATCATAAAACCGTTGGCTGGCGCATTGTAGGTCAGACTCATCTACAGTCCTGACTAATTTCATGTTGACTGGTGCATCCGTTTTCATGCTACAGCTGACCAAAAATCTCTGGAGAAAAAGAATAAAATAAATAAATAAATAAATAAACAGTACAAAAACAACATGACTCCCGCTTACGCTTCGCGTGCGGGGGGGGGGGGGGGGTTCATAAAAAATGCAGTTTTTAATTTGATTTTTAGGTACAGTTCAGATTAAAGACTAGCTTTCACCATTTTGCCTTGATAATAAACTGGATTTAGATTGTTTTATTAATTCAATAAATTTAGTAAAATGCTCTTCAAATAACTGGAAAATGTATAATTTTAAGTAGATTTTTAAAAAATCTTCCAGGTGGGCATGCCCCCAGACCCCACTAGGATTGTTTCACTCCACAGCTGTTTAACATTAATGTGTCTCATTGACGTTGGCAGGTTTTATGTAGCCTTCTGACATTCTGATTTAAATTCAATCTATAGTTGTTTACTGTTTTAGTTGGTCAAAACTATTTTGTATGGGATTATATGTAAATAAGCAGTGAGATTTAGAAAATTGCATCACACATATCTTCCCTTGGGTCTTAGCTCTGCTGGGGGCTAAGCACCCCTAAATGTCAGATCCTAGAATCGTCCCTGTGGTTCAGGCAGAAGAGGTGCTGCCATGCTCGGCTCTGTGGTCACAGCAGCCTTGCTGCATTGGTGCGTGGGGGGTGGGGGGTGGGGTCATTATGTTACCACTATGTGGTATCTAGTTTATACAGGAATTAAAGTAATTTCTATCCATATCTATGCAATTAAGAGTTTTAATGATTTGGCCGATTCATCAATTAATCGACAGATTAATTGATTATTAAAATAATGGTTACTTGCAGCCCTGTACATTTTACTTGCTAACATGTTTGGGGTTCTTATTCTTTTTGACCTCGGGGCTCAAATTGTTGAACATAAAGTGTCACGAGGCCCAGTCAGACATTACCAATGTATGGATCAAAGTGATAATTATTATAAATCTTGGTTTAATTTTTGTTGTATTTACATCATCATAACTAAATTAAATACATTTACTGTTTAAAAGTAAAACTCCTGTCAAATAATCACAAGACATGGTTATAACAAACATTTTTATATTGTAACCTGCCCATAACAATTATCTGAACAAATACAAAGGTCAGTCAACAGACCACTCAGGCTTATCAACACAAAAATATATATTTTTAACGTAAACAATAACAAAAATAGATAAATCAAAAAATTTTAATTGTGGGCATAAAATAACTAAATTAAAAATGTTTAATGTAAATGTTTCAAATTTAAAAAAAACTGTAAAATTTGATAAAGTACAAATGTAAATATAGCCTTTTTAAAATTTTGCAACCAGAAGCTGCTCTTCATATTAGTGACAAACAAAAACAGTAACAACAGCTTTTTGACAAGTTTAAAGTTTCATTAAAATACACTCAAAATGTTTAAAAATAACTATAAAAATTCATTTAAAATGCAAATTAAAATATAGTTGTATCTGCAACTGTATTTGATAATGTTTTGAACTTTTAAAATATTACATGGTAAAAACAGAAGCTGCTCTTCATATTAGTGACAAACTTTGGTATTTTTTGTCGAGTTACTTTCATTTTTGCTTCTACCTTTTTTTGCATCTACTTTTAAT